GTTTTCCCATGGGCAGCAGCCCGGTGTCACAGCTGCATGGCAATACTCATCTCGAGCAGCCTCTAAGTGAGACCATGGGGAGCTGCGATCTCCTTGAAAATATAAAACCCAGCTCGTAAGCCAGCTGGAAACCAAAAGGCTCAAAAGTGCAGAGCCAGGCCACTGTCAAACAGTTGCCCGGGTTGAGGGGTGACCTGGCGGTGGGCTCCCCTTTCCGCCATCACTCCTTTCCTCCTCAGGCCTCCGGGAGAAGGTACCGGATTGGAGGGTGAGGGCAGAAGCCAGCCTGGCCTCTCTAGAACAGAGAAAGTGAGAGCTTTGAGCATCATGAACAAGGAGATAAAAATAGCAACATTGCCATGGCAACGAAGGCTGGGAGAGTCCTGAGGATCTGGTCTGGGTCCTGCCATCTCCCCCTCCAGTTTTCCTCTGCTTCTGGCTTCTCTGACGGAACACAGGGATGAGCTGAGAGGAGGGAGGGGTGCCTACCAGGAAACCCTGGAACTCCAGAGCCTTGGCTGCCGTTTTGGGGGCTCCTGGATTTTGGAATTTCTTCCTCGGCATAATACGTTTCTCCAGGGATGCTTGAGCCCCACACCTCACCCTCCTTGTGAGTGGTCCTGACCCCCCGGGCTCCCCTGTAAACAGTCAACATTTCTGTTTCCTCTTCATGGTCCGTGGTTCTGCTCCCATGGGAATTTAGAGAAGGGAGCCCAGGCAGGGCTGGCCAGAAGCCTGCTAGAGTAGGCAGTGACCTGAGGGTATGGCCTGGGCGTGGGTTCACTCTGACAAGCCACATCCTCTGCTCCCAGGCGGGTTAGCAACATGGCCGTAGGGAGCTCTCTGTACTGGAAATAGGGTGATGGTGGTGGAGGCTCTCTCTTGTTCTTGAGTGAGAGGGATGGGGTGTTTCTTCTTTGGAAGCAGATTCTGGTTGTTGGTTCTGGTGGGGTTGTCAGCCCAGGGTGAACCAGGTTCTCTGGACCAGCCCCCAGGAGTCCAGTGAATGCAGGAGCCAGAGATTTCCTTCTCTGGTGAAAGCCCGTCTTCGTGGTTAGAACCAAGTGTCTGTCTCCAAAAATTCAAACCACATCTGGCACATCTGATACCTTGTGCCCCTGCAATGCATGCCTTGCTAGGAGGTAGGGATGGGGTGGGTCTTGTTGTCATCCTTTTATAGAGGCTGGGAGAGAGGAAGCAATTCTCAGAGGTCAGGAGTCAGCCATGGAGGAGCTCTGGGAAATGGGGGGCTGCAGCCCTTTATCCAAAGACAGTCATGAACCCACCCCACCACCAGCTTGTCCCAAACCACCAGGCAACATGCACATTCGGTCCGCAGGCAGGGCAGGCTGCAGCCTGAGGCACTTTTGATTGCAGAAAGTAATGAATGAGGTGGGTGGGTTAGTCGGCTTGGAGATGGGCTCACCAGCAGCTATGCAAAGGGAAGCCCATGGGTTATATAACTGGGGCAGAAAGCCCGTCTTTGAGATCCCATCTGCAAGGGGTGGTGTGTGTGTATGACAGAGAGCAAGATAGAGGACAAAAGTGGCACTTGTGATGGTCTAGACAGGGCCTGGAGTTGAGTAGAGGCTGACACTTGACACTTTCTCCCCGGTGGCCAGGCTGCAGGAAGGAGGAGAGGCAGAAATGCAGGGAGAGCAGAGGGGGGGTGCTGGCAGCAGCTCCGGGTGCTTTGGTGCTCTCCCTCACTAGCCCCATTTCTCAGATCTACCACACACATCACTTCCCTTTGTTGCACGCACAGAGCACACCGGACAGGGCTCTGGAAACCTGCAGTTCCCCGGCCCCACAGCCCCCAGCCCCAGTGAGGCCCAGCTTTTCAGAGGGAACCTGCAGAACATGAATGCAATCCTCTCTTTATAGTTGAGGAAACTGAGTCCCAGAAATAGGACACGATCAGCCTAAGGTCACACTGTCATCACCGTCCAGGTGGGGCTAGAATCCAGGAACCTGGTTCCCAGCTCAAGGCTCTTTGCATCCCGCTGTGCTACCTCATGCATATTTCAGATAATTAAATTATTGCTTTTTTCCTCCAAAATAATCCCCCTATATATTTCTATTGACCCATATGCTACATTCAAGTCACCCCCCATGCCCCAAATGAAGAAGGAAATGACATTCTAATACAAAAAGAAAAGAAAAAAAGACTTCAACCTGAGACAAGAAGCTCCTCCAGGTCCCTTGGGCTAGGGTCCCTGACCACATTCAAGGCCCAAGAGCCTTCAGTACCCTTCACATCTCTTTATGCCCCATTCAGCAGCCCACAGCACAAGGGGGAAACGGGCATGGCACGTTCTCCCTTTTATAGATGAGCAGAGTGAGGCCCTGGGGGGCTAAGGCTCCCAGCTTTCTGCAGGACTCAGTGCCATGCTGCAACAGGAAAGGCCAGACCCCTTCCTCAGAGCCCTCTACTCCTGCAGCCCTGCCTCACCCCAGGAGCTCCTAGTCCCCACCTCAAGGTGGAGTCTGGGAGGGATTGGAGGAATGAAGGGAATTGGAAACAGAGGCCAAGACAATCCAACCTGACCTCTGGGAGGGAGTGAGACCCAGCGCAGGACATGAAACCTGGAGACCAGGCCCCGCCCCCTTCCTCAAAAGAACAGAAGGGAGAAAAACCTGGACTGGACTCAGAGGCCCTGGAGCACATGGTCTGCAGGCTGGGCCACATCTACCCTTCTGGATGAAACCAACCTTTCCCCTGGGCAAACCCAGGAGCAGAGAGGTGAGAACTGGTCTCCAGACTGCCTCCCGAGATGCTGCGAAGGAAACGGGGATGATAGAGTATGGGGTGTCCAGCTAGAAGGGGCTACTGCCTCCTCTGAGGCCATTTCAGCTGCAGTGTTAGCCCCTAACTTAGCTTTGAATGAAGACCAGACCACCAGCTTGGAGGCCGAGGACAGTTATCTGCAGGCACAGCTGGGCTTCCACTCAGAAATGCCTTGACCTTGGGACCTCTCCCATGTCCCCTTAGCAGGCCCTCAAGATATCCAGTATCTCTCCAGAGCCAAGGGAGTTCTTCTCGGGGAAGAAGCTCCCTGAACAAGCTCAGCATCAACCCCTGCAGCCGACAGCCCTGCAGAAGCCCAAGTCGGAGAGGCCGCAGGGGGAAGCTCTCGTTCCCCACCCCTCCCGCAGGTTCTCTACTCTTCTGACCTTTCCTCCGGGTGAGCTGTGTGGTCAGGACACAACACCCAACACCTCTGAGTCTCAAGGATACAATTTCATCCTCCACCACAGGAGTGACTTCTCTGAGGCTTCAGCCTCACGGGCAACCGCTTGGGACACTCATGTCCTCGAGCTGGGCCCCCTGAATCTGCATCAGGGCACCCTCCGAGGCTGTGCCGCCCATCTCTTGGCCTCATCCGAGGCCTCCGCTGCCCGGGAGGCTGAAGAACCAGGGAGTTTTTCTTCTGTCCTTTGTGACCCCATTGGCCTTTATTGCTTTTTCCTTGCAAGGACTTCTGTTTACAATTCTTTGGATGCAAAAGGAAATAACAGATTTTAGAAGGCTGGGGCTAGGGGGTAGGGCGAAGGATAGGAGGAAAGAAATCTTAAATTGTGCTCTGGCGACACAAAGATGACCTGGATCCTATCAAATCTGCCAGGAGCCCAGGAAATGCCCTGAGCGTGAGCTAGACAGGCGAGAGCTGCCAGGACGGAATGTGCCCTTGCTTCCCCCGGGCTCTGGAGAGGCGAACCAGCAGAAGAGGTCTCCCGCCCCCCGACCACCCGGAGAGGCCCACATTCTAAGACAGGGGGCACACAGCCCCCTCTTTCTGTCCCGGGGCCCTGATCTCCCCTACCCAGGTCATCTGTCAGAAAGGTTATTCTGTCCCTGAGTAGAGGGGCCTGACTGTTCCTGGGCCGAGTTGTTCCTGTGATAAAGCAGAGGGCGGACCTGCTAAAGCTACAGAGCCGGAGAGTGTCTCTGCGGCCGGCTCTGCTGTCTGCACAGCCCTCTAGCACCTGAAAGTCCAGGCACAGTGACGGACTCAGTTGTATCAAAATTGGGGGAGGAGAGGAGGAAGGAAAGAAGGAAGGAAATGTTTTTTGTTTGCTTCCTATCTCCTGGAAATAGGCTGGGAGTCGGGGTGGAGACTGACCCTGAAGGTGGAGGCCAGGGGAGACTAGGGGGAAAGTCAAGGCAAGTCCTAGAGGCCTCCTCCCCCGAGAATTTCCCTTAAAGGCACCACATGCAAGCATTTCTCCCTCTGTGGTTTCTGAGAAGGCGGGTGAGACGAGGAGACAGGAGAGTTAAGGGAGGGCACAGCTCAGTCCGGGAAAGGGCCCTTCAGCCTGGCCTTGGAGGTAGTCCCTGAGGAGGAGGGTCAGAGCCTGTGGAACAGCCCTGCCGTGTGCGCTGCAGCCAAGGAGGCATGAAGTGAGTGACCAGAGAGGCAGGGGCTGGAGGGGAGGTTGCTCCACAGTGTGGGGAGAGCGGGGTACAGGGAGACCCAGCTGGCCACCCACCTCTCACTGTCCGCACTCCACCATCCTACGCATGGCCAGCCCACCCCCTCAGGCCTGGCTCTGCCTGGCCCAGGGGAACGCTGGGAAAGGACTCATCTCCCACAACCTGCCTGGGGTCCTGAGGACCCAGGAGAGACTCCACCCCGAGCTTGGAGGGGGCTCGTCTCCACTTCCAGTGGGCCCAGCCCAGCTGAGGCCTCCCCCAGGGTCAGGGCTGCTGGGCAATTCCTGGGCAGAGCCACCAGTTTCCTACTCTGCAGTCTCTCAGGAGAGAAGTCACCCTTTGCAAAGTTCTGGAGCCCCCGGGCCAGGAAAGAAGTTTCACTCCTGGGGCCTCCCTGGGACTTCTTGTCTGGTCCTGGCCTTCCCCTGGATGACAGGGGACTCTCTCCGGGGAGGTCTCCGGGGGGTGGAAGCACCAGGGTCTGGGCAGGAGGAGACCCAGGCACAGGAGGCTGCTGCCCTCAGTTTAGATCCGGTCAGGCCCAGCCGAGAAGAGTAGCGGGCAGATCCTGGCCCAAGCCTTGACCAGGAGCGTGCCCAAGACCCGCAGCCTGGGGCGGGCTGCAGAAGGGGCCCTGGTCCTGCTCACACGGCTGTTTCCCGCTCTCTGTGAACGTCCTCCTTCTTCCTCTTCATCTTGCAGAAGCCGTGGAGGCCACAGAAGCAGGCAAAAGTGAACTGGGGCATGCCCTGGGCCAGGCTGGGGGCTGCTCACCAGAGATCTGCAGGGAGAGGGCAGAGGGAGAGGGGGCAGGAGAAAGGCAGGAGAGAGAAGCAAGCTGGATTATCATCCCAGAGCCCGCCAGGTCTTGCCAGAGTCACGGCTGCTCCCTGAGCTTCCCGGGCCCGCTAGTCCTCTCACACCCACTGGGGGAGGGGTCATGCCCCCAACAGCAGCTTTGAAACCTGTTTTCCTGATCTGTGTGGAGCTGATGTCATGCCTCAAGTTGGAGCCTGGGTGAGCCCAGGGCGGGGAACAGAAACTCCCAGCAGACCCCACCTTTGCTCCCCTCCTACCCCCTGCCCCCTCTGCCTCACCTCATTGACACACAGCTGGGGTTGGGGACTGGGGAAGCAGCTGACTCAAAATAAACTCTGGCTTGTGCCACTGTGCCGGGGTTGGGAGGGGGCGTTCCATTCACCCTTTTAGGTCACAGGTCTGATGATCCAAATGCAGGATTTTGTGGACCTTGAAGAAAGTCCCTCATCCAGCCCAGCCTCCAATGTGACACCTGGAACTGAGGCAGGGCCTCCCCCTTCCCTGACAGTGCCCATGTGTCTGATACCCTCAGGGAAGTCTCTAGGGAACATAAGGCACTGTCTTTGCCTGCTCAGGGCAACATCCCATCCTCACGCAGAGGACAGATGGCAGCGAGTTCTTTTAGCCAACAGGCTGCTTCATTGAGTACCTGTGCTGGGCACAGGGGTTGGGAGGTACAGACATAGGGTGCAAGTGCAACCGTTTTTTCTCTGGTACAAAGTTAAGTCCGAGGTGGGTAGAGGCTGAGGCTGATTTGCCCCAGCTGGAGACACTGTCCCTGACCTCTTGCTGACATGGCCCTCAGCCTGGGAGTGGGAGGGGCTTCAGGAGATACGCTCTCAGTCTATGAGAGGATCCCTTTCTCCAGACACTCATGGAGGTCTCCCCAGCCTTGGCCACCTGCAGATTCCTCCAGTTTACTTCCCTGCCTTTCTGCCTGCCCGGAGGGAGCAGAAGCGCATTCACATCAGCGCCTGCAGAGCAGCTGGGCCCACAGGAGAGCCCCTTGCACGCTCCTGGGGCCTGCGTCCATCCTGGGCCTGGGTTGGCTCATTTCTCTCTCTAGGAAGAACACAGGGGGCAGCCCACACACCAAGAGGAAGGGGGCTGTGGAATAAGGAAGCATGAGGCATGTCCCTGCCCCCAAATGCTAGGCACACCTGCAAAGTGTTTCCACCGTGTCTGAGGAAGCTGGCGTGGCCTGGGTGGTGGCTCGCCGGACTGTCCACAGGTCTGGCCCACCTTGCTCCTGTGGACAAACTTCCTGCTTTTTCAGGTAGAGCAGAGGGCCCAGCAGCAGGGCCTCACCAAGCATAGTGCCCACAGTGCCTGCAGTGGGGCCAGCTCTGTCAGGATTCTTCTCCCTCCCCTCTCAGTGCCCTGGTAATGCAGCTGTTGACTGTAATTTATAGGTGCAATGCATTTCCAATGGCCAGCAGGGTGGGCAGGAGGCCTGGCTTGAGTCAGCATGGGTGGGTAGACTGGTTTAATCACTTGCTTTCCAGCGCCATGCACACACCCACTCTCCTGGAGTATATATAGAGAGCAGAAGCAATCTGTAGGATATATACATATATAGAGATAGAACCAAGATGCAACTACTATATTTCTAGATCTACCTATTGCAGCTACCTCCCGCGACAAACCTAGAGAGACAGGTTTGGGGCCTGGGTGGCCTGGGTTCTATTCTTGGCTCTGACACCGGCATGCTGTGTCACTCTGGGCAAGTGGCTGTATTTCATTTTATTGTGCCAGGAAGCTAATCAAGGCTTAATACTTAGATCCCAGACCACTGGGAATCCTAGCCTGATCAGGAAGAAGGGAGGGAGAACAGGTGGGTTTCCTTGTAATTAGTGCACTTCCTCTGCCAGGGGAAGTGTGTCAAGGGTAGTATCCACAAAGTGTTCCCGTGATTACCGGAAAAATATCTGGGGTAAAATCAACAAAGTGGATCTGGGGCAGGAACTTATAACGAAAACAAGCCGAGTGAGTAGCTCAGACCATCACGCCCCACCGCACCCAGAACGGGGTCAGGGCAGCTCGGGTCCCAGGGTGCAGAGACCCAGTCCTCTCTTGCCCCCACCTCCCCTCCAAAGCCAGCCCTCTTAAAAACAGCAAAATGTGCACCCCGACGGGACCGTTCCTACTGGGCTCCTTTCGGAGGGCGAGACCATGCTGAGGTTTGGGCTCACTCAGGGAAGATCTGGGGGAGGGGAGGAGGAGCCGGGACCTACACCGCAGAGGACAGGAGGCGCAGTAAGCAGCCGGGGGCTGCAGTCTGGCTCCCAGAGCCGTCCAGCTCACAGGGACCCTGGGCGCCTGTTTCTAAGGACAGAGAGCAGAAGATCCTGGTTATCCCACTCAGGTCTTTGATACAAAATGCTCTGGGTGGACTCTCACTTATTCCACCAGGCCCTGGAGGTGGTCTGCGCTGCTTGTGGCTCACAGGTCCCTGACCAGCGTCAGAAGGGGGGCGGATCCGGGGAGGGCACACACCCAGAGCAGGGAATGCTTTCCTGTTTTAGTTCTCCCCAGGATCCCTCGGCCCCCACCAGCAGGTACACGGGGAGCCCCTTTGCCCGGGCTGTGGTCTCTGCTTTGCTCCCCTGACCTTTGTTCCTTCACTTGGCCAAATGCTCCGGCACGAGCTGGAGGGCTCCCTGGGGAAATTGGGTCTTGATGAACGTTCCTCTGGCTGTGTTCACTTGAAGGGAAAGGGGTCTGAATGTTAAATGGCCCTGGGTGCACTCCCAGCTCATCTGTGCTCACGACGGAAACTTTTCCTCCTGCTCTGCCGTTTCCCCTGCACCTCAGTTTTCAGAGGGTAAGAGATGGAAGAACAGAGGAGGAAGGAACGGGAGGTGGATGCTGGAAAAACCCCAGCTGCCCCACACTGGCAACCTCTGACCACAGGCCGCTGTTTCCTAACTTCATCCCCAGCCTCCGCTCTGGCCTTTCCCCAGCTCAGGTCCGAGACGGCCCGGGTGTGGGGCACGGGGGGCTCTCTGTTCAGCCAGCTTGAAGGGAGTCAAGCAGAAGAGCTCCCAACCCAGAGATCATCCCAAACCTCCAGGAGGTTCCCCGGCCCCCCTGCTGACCCCTTTCCTTGGTCCTCACCCCCACATCTCCCCTCTTTGCCAGACACCCTCCTGGGGTCCTCCAGCCCTAAAACCTCCAGTGAAAATGGGGCAGTGGGCCAGAGATTGCTCGAACACGTGGAAGAAGCAAGAGGAAGAGGAGACTCAGAGCAGGTTAGACACTAAGAGGAGGAGAGAGCCAGGGCTCTTGGGCTTGCAGACCCCAAACTCCTGGCCAGTGTCTCAAATTTTGGCAATGTCCTCTCTCAAAGCAGGCGGCACTGGGGGTTGGAAGGGTGGGAAGATAATTACAAATGTTGAGACATGCTAGGAATTCTGACAAAGAGATATTGTCCGTCCCACCCGCCCCCCAACCCCTCGCCTCCTAAAGCAGTAGTTCCCAGAAAGGCAACCCCCCATCTTCAATCCACCCCACCCCCTATCCCAGGTAAAAAGCCAAAAGAGAAGTGACCCATGAGAAGGGGCGCCCTCAGCCTCTAAACAATGCTGAGCCCTCAGCCCCTCCCCAGCCCCCTCAGCACCGGCCTCAGTAATTAAAATGTGCATTCACCTTCCCTCCCCGAGCCATTCATCACTGCGAAGGGAAGCAGCTGCGGCCCGGGAGACCGGATTTGGGGGATTAACTCGGGCGCTGGAGCAGACACACCAGGAGGAAGAATTAGAAAGGAAGGGGGTGAACTGGGTTTTCTCTCCCCACCTCCTCCCCTTCCCTCCGCCACCCAGCCTCACACCCCACCTCTTCCCCACCCTCCACCCCCAGCCTGGCCTCTGTAAGGGTTCTGGGAACTGTAGTCTCCACAACTGTGTGGATGAACAGGCAGGCCAAGGGTGGGAGGTGGCACAGACTACAGATCCCAGGAATTCTTCCCGGAGTTGGCAGCGATAAAACTGGGCACAGTCCTCCAGTCTGGAAGAAGTCGGAGTTCTTGGAGATTAACCGTTTCTTGGCCTGCTTGAGACGGAGTTCCTGCCTCTGGCTGACTGAGCACACTGGAATCTGCAGCCGAGGCCCTCTCTGCCTTCCACGGCGTGCCCAGTCACGGCCCCCTTGTTTCTTGCTCGCCTACCTATGCAGGGAGAGAGGAGGCACCCCCACCTGTCGGCAGTACAAGGGCAGCCACACATTGACCAGCGGCTCTGAGGGCCTTGGGTGCCATGGGAGCTGGAGGGGTCAGAACACCAACAGTCTTGAAATGTCCTCATGGCCCAGCCCCCGGGGTCCCCCAGGCCGGCTTGGCAGAGGCTGGCCCACCTAAGAGTCATCACAAGCATGACTGGGACACCATGACCCGCAAGGCAGCTCAGAACCCCTGACCCAAACTGTCGGTGCCCGAGGGCACCCAGAGGTCCACTGTTAGCACCACCCCCTTCTAAAGATGGAACAGACAGGTTTGTTTTTTTCAATAGGAAGGGGGCGTTTCAGCAGTCAAGCTGCATTTCCACCAAAAATGGGACAAGAGCAACCCGAGAGACCCACTGGACTCTCGGTGCCGTTAAACACGGATGCGCTCTCCCGAGGGAGGCCTTCTGCGGGCTGTCTCTGCGGGCTCCGAAAGAGACTCAGAACATTCCAGGTTTCAGCTGTCTGCGAGCGGGGATCAGGGCAGACGCAGCCCTCTGATCTGCGAGTCGTCTGGGGAGAGAGGGCATAAGGCCAGCTTGCCTATTCAATTCACTCCAACAATTATGTGAAATAAATTGCCCATCTCCTCCGGGCCTGCCCCACTGGCAGGGGCCAAGAGACAAAGGACAGAAAGAACGGCATCTCAGTAACCCCAGAAGCTCCCCAGGCCCAGGCCCATCAAGGTGGGACTGTCCCAGGCGAGTTGCTGAAATGTGGGCTTGCTCTCTGTCCCTGCTTGTGGCAACTTACTGCTTTTACCCCACCCCCCTTTTCTCCCAATTCACAGTTCCTTCAATTCATCCTACACACATTTACCCAGCAGCCCCTATCGAGCCTTGCCTTGTTGGGGCTTTAATCTCTGGAACAGTCGTCTGTCCCCATTCCCAGGTTCAGCCCACTGCTGGGGCCTTCCCCACAAACTGTGCAACAGGATTCTAGTTTCAGGATGCGGCACTGCTCCAATCTAGGAGATCAGGAGCTAAGGGAGGAAACCGAGTGCTGGGGTGTCCTCAGAGCATGGTAGGGAATAGGACAGGCTAAGTCTGGCCAGGGCAGATGAACGAGGAGGGGGTTGGGGGCAGGTGCTAGCCACCTCTGATCTCTGGGCCAGAGAACCCAGAGAGCGAGAGAAAAACCCTGGCAAATTATCCTCTTCGTTCCATGCACCATCCACCATCTACGTTGGGGCAAGAGGGGAAGTGGCTTGATTCAGGCCCAGCAAAAACTCAGCTGGCTTGAGCTTTCTTTTAGCTTCTATTGTTTTGATTCCTGCACTCACCACTCCAAAAGGAAAACCAGTGATGGACAAAGAGTGAATAGAGTTGGACCCCGGGGGTCAATCTGTAGACGTGCATCCAGTGGAGTTCTGGGGAGAAAGACCCCTGCGGTGGGAACAGCACTTCCCAGTTCACAGAGCACTTTGCCGTGCACTGGTTTGCTGGTGTTGGGAACCTCCAGCACAATGCGGCAGGTGAGAGCACAAGCTCAAACCCCAGCTCTGCCCCTTACTAGGCATATGAACTTGGGCCAGTTTCTTAGCTCCCTGTGTCTCAGATTTTCCATAAGTACAGTGGGATAATAATAGTACCTTTTTCAAGGGTTGTTTCCAGGATTAAATGAGTTGGTACAGGTGACATGTACTAACAGGTGACATGTAATTGTGCCTAGTACACAGCAGGCACTAGGTAGATGATGGCTGGGGAAATTAAAGGCTCTGAGACATTAGAAGTAACTTGCCTTCTGATTCTCAGCACCAAATATAGTGCCTACGCTGATTCTTCAGTGGTTCGTCTTACACAGACTCGGGGCTGGGAGGCGGGTCAAGGAGGCTCCACGTGCTGCTCCCACCAGACTGCCAGCCTGAGTTCCATCTGTGGGAGTCTTCCAGGGGGGCTGGGATGGAGTTAGGCAGATTGTGGGAGAGGACTAGCTATGGCGAGCCAGGCGGGAGGGGACAGGGAGCGCAGGTCTTTCCCAGACCCAGGAGGGAGAGAGGAAATGCCCGAACAGGGTAGCAGACCCAGAGCTGGGACCCTAGACTCCAACTGGCAGCCTGTGGGGAGTGGCTGCCTTCCCCCCTTCACTCTGCTGAACCTCTGTTCCCCAGGTGGCCGGCCTGAGCCCTCCCGTTTCAGCCATACAGAAAAAGGCTGAGGATTTGAGCTGACCGCAGCGAAGCAGTGAGTGAGGTGGAGAAACAGGTTGTCCCGGAGGTACTGAGCAAAGGCCCAAGTGCTGTGTGGCCCAGCATTCCTGACTGCAGCCCCCAAATCCGTGAGCACAGGCCAGGCCTCGGTAACTTGGCAAGGGGGAAAGGAATTGACTTCGAGACCTCAGCACCGGAGTGTCTCTTTTCAGACTCAGGGAATCTGCCCCTAGAATCACCAGTCCAGCCTCTTCATTTCAGAGTGAAGGAGCAGGACCAGAGAGGGGAAGTGACTTGGCCAAGGCCACACAGCCTAGCCCCATCCTCCCTGCATGCCCCGCCACCCCCCACCTGGTGCCCCTTTGTGGCTGTCCCACAGCCTGGGCCTGAACAGAGGTGCAGGTGCGCAGGAGGAGCAGGCCCCTCACTGTAGCCCATGGCTTTTAGCCCTACATGAGTTTGGAACAGCAATCACATAGGAATGAAAAGCCATAGGCCACAGCAGAGCTGAGGGGATCCAGCAGCAGGAATCGCAAAAGGGCGCGGGGAGCTGAAGGTACTTGGGATGCCCTCACGCCCCTTCCCGCCCCTTCCCACCAACGCCACCCACCCACACTGCCTCCCCTGTGGTACTGGGCCCCCCAGGTTACATTCTCTCACCATCCCCCACCACCTGGCCCCAGAAGCATTAAAGCCATCCTAGTAATGAGTTTTCAGTTCTTGCCCTACAAAAGCCCCCACACAATGGGCCTCACTCCAGGCATCAGGGGTGGTTTCCTGGCCATAAAGGATCTCCTTGAATTCCCTTAATTAGCCTCCATCCCCCTGCCCAGGGTCCTTAACTACTCCTCACCCCCATCCCTACAGAATCTTTTCAATGCTACTTACTGCTAGAGCCCAGGACCAGCCGGCATTAGGCTCTGTCCTTACGGAGTTTAACACTTTCTAGTTCAGCCACAGGAAGCAGAGAGGGCAAGAGGGTCTGGGTGGGGGAGAGCAGGGACAAGAAGCGCCTGCCTTTTCTTAGAGGGATGAACGAGCTTCAGGAGCACGCCCAAGGCTGGGGGACGGCCCACACCTCCTAGACTAGTTCTGGACGTTACTGTTACCATTCTCCTGTGGCTTAGAGGGGAGTAGGAGCTCAGTCTTCAGACCCAGATGGAGACAGGAAAAGGGCCAGTGCTCGAAATCCCCACCAGTTGAGGGCAGCTAGCCTTGGAGCTACCCTGGGTGATGTTGTGGGAGGGGTGCTTGGTGCTCTCCCTCCCTCATGGGCAGGATGTGGTGGCTGGCACAGGCATCTCCAGGACTAGGGTGAAGAGCTAAGCCCAAGGAAACCAAGGTCTGCCTTGGCCAGGTGACTCAGTTGGTTGGAGCTTTGTCCCTATACACCAAAAGGCTGTGGGTTCGATGCCCAGTCAGGGCGTGTACAGGGTGTGTGTGGGGGGGGAGGACGACACCTGATCAATATGTCTCTCTCCCTTCTTCTCTCTCTAAAAATAAATTTAAAAAACCATATCCTCAGGTGAAGATTAAAAAAAGAAAAAGGGTAACCAAGGTCTCAGGGTCCTGGAAAACATGTGCACTAAACACAGGACTGCCTTCTCCCCCTCTTTCCTGTGGTCAGTGTGGGCACGCATCAGCAGCCTTGGAGGGACGTTCAGGAAAGCTCCAGGGAATTCAGGTCCCCAAGCCTGGCCTTGACCTCCCAGGGCCCCGCAAGGATGTGGTGAAGAGGCCTGAGGCACAGATCAGGACCCATCTGTGCCAGGGCGCAGGTGCAGCCCCACCGTAGCCCCACTGCAGCCTCCAGGGTAGGCTCGCGGGCTCTCTGCAGGACCTGGCTGGCTGCCCACACTCCCCAACAGTGAGCGTGGGCACATGTGCGCACACACCAGTCTTACCCAGTATATTAAGGGCCAAACTGGACACCTTCCAACTTCCCGCCTGAACTTTAGGTCATCACCCCCAACCTCCACCGGCTGAAGCCTTTGGTTTTCCCCTTCCTCTTCCATGGGTCCCAAAATCCCAGACTTAGGACCTTCAAAAACTGTGGGCTCCAAGCAGAATGTCCTCGATTCCCTCCCAAGCGACACCAGGGTCCAAGGGTCTGCTTACCCGGCGCCCTCGCCCATCCTCTCCTTCACAAGTCCTGCAGAGCCACCTCCTGCCTCCGGGCAGCCACTTGGTCCTCCACTTACCCCCAGAAACTCCAGGCTCCATGCGGCAACTGGGGCCGGCCTCCCCCTTCCACACCCCACAGCCTGGTCAGAGCCGTGCAGAACTCAACTTGACTCACTTATGAGGACCGGGCCCGCCCCTCCCCCAGCCCAGGGGCTGGTGGGTGTGGGGCGGGCAAGGCGGGCGGGTG